CCATGGAATTGAAGGCAAGGGGTAACTTTATTCAGTCTCTACTTTATATTGAATAAGAGCTTTAATTCCTCTCGATGGAGCCACAAAATTGAACAGAAACTAATAGTATTTGCCAGAGGAAACCCCGATGAATGCCATTAAATTATCGACAAGGATTAGCCAAGTAAATACAAATGAAAAGCCCAACCAGTTTTCTCATCATCAAGCCAGAGTCCTTGAATATTCAGCAAACAAACAGCAAAACTCTGGCTAAAAGCAAACGAGAGAGAGAGAGAGGTAGAGAGGTAGAGGAGGAAGGTTAATTGCGTTTAAAAAAGCCGCAAAAATCGATAGTAAAATGAAAATAAACCTGAAATATCTGTGGTCGACCGAAGCGAGGAGTTTCAAATGTGGAGGTGCGGATTGCATTTGGCATGAGTGAGGAATTTTAATTACTTAAAAATTCCGAAAAACACAGCCGCTTCACAGGATGCGGGTTTCGCCTTCAAAAATGGTTGCCGGAAAATTACACAGACAGAAAATAGAGAGGGAGAGAGAGAGAGAGGAAAACCATGGCAGGAGGGTAATTAAACTGAATGCTCAAGCAAACATTAAACAAAATATATATCTTTTTTTTTTTTTTTTGAAGCAAACTCCTGGCGGAACAAAGAGAGGGAGGGGGAGGGGAGGGGCCAAAGGGTCATTCTAGTAGTTGACCTACAAAACGGTACAAAGGTTCCACCCGTTTCTCGGCTCTATGAGGGCCAACAATGCGGAAAGCCCCTTTCAGCGACTGATTAAACAAAGCTAAAAGCCCAAAAGGGGTTCGAGCCGCACAAAAAACGTACAAAAATGAGCCAAAGGTGCCAGCAATAGATGGTTTTTCGGGGGTGGAAATGGAAATGGAAACCATGGCTAAGTGAAGGTTTTTGTGTCATTAGTGGCTTAGTCCAAGCTTAGCTCGATTCGGAATCATCTCAGTAGCCAAGCAGCAATTATCTCATTCAATGTTGAAATGCCAACAAACGAGACTTAAATAGTTTAAGATTATTTAAGAAGGTAAAGTACTACTCGGAAATCTCTAGAATAAGCTTTGAATGAACGAAGAGAAACAGTATGTCGTCCGCTGCGGTGAGGACCATCCACTCTCTCTCTCGACTGTCAGTGAGACAAGTGCTAGAAAGAGATAGCAAACGCTTGACGTTCTGCAGACAAACGGATGGACCCTTAAAAGAGAGCATATGTGGTGACGACGTAGCTGTTTGTGGCAAAGCGTAGACTCGGAAGAGAGGAAAAGCAAGATTTCTGCGCTTAGATAGAATCACTCCTTATACAATTTTTCTTTTTGTTTTCTATTATCCACTTTTTTTATTTGATTATAATTTTTATTTATTTATTTATTAATTTTAAGAAATTGCATGACTTATATAAATCCTACAGCAAAATTAATGTTTCTAGCCAGAGCAACAAGGACTTGTGCTTGGTTTTTAAGTGGATTTTTTGTTGATTATTTATTTAGGAATAATATATATAAAAAATATATAATATATTTTACTATTTTTATTTATATATATTTCTATTTATTTATTTATTTTTTTTTTTTTTAGAGCTACAAGTAAAACTTATCTATTCAGAAAATATGCCTAGAGAATGAGAGAAACTTTAAGGACTCTTAATAGCTCTTTCTTGGCTTTGGTTTTTCAAATCATGTAAATACATAGAAATCCACGATTATTAAGGAATTTTGTTAGTCCATCCAGACATCTAATTCTGGCCTCTATAACGCGATCTTATCTTATCTTTGGGTATATTAATGCAACCTTTCAGGTTCTATAGTTCATGCCTTCATATGCTAAAAGTTTTAATGGATTTCCTCCATCTCAGGAATGGTCTATAAAGAAATTTATGGAATCACTGGAGCATTTAATTGTCTTAGAAACAGATCTAAAGGCCTTCAAATATAAAATTTAATTTATTTTTTCATCCGTACTCTCTTCAGAGTCTAGACGGCCTCAGTTTCGTATCATTTTTGCTGTCTAAATCTATTCCAATTAGTGACACCTTGACTTACTTCTGCGGCCTGTTGCCTGTTGCTTTCCGGTTTTTCCGACCCACTCTTCCGGCCTGGCTGGCTGCCGGTGCAGCGGCTGCACAAATGGCACAGATAAATAAGAAAAGCGCTGTGGAAGAGGAAAAACCAGCTGGGAACAACTTTCGCTAGTCGCTGGTGTACGGGGTCTATGGGGTGTACGGGGTGTACGGGGGGTGTCTGGGGCAGGCGTGCACGGAAAATTGAATATGGCCAAATGCGCTTGACCAAAGAAAAGGCCAGCATAAACATGGGAAAAACAACAACGGCCAGTGAATGGGTTTGCCCGACTTTTCCAAGCGCAAAAAAAAACAACAAAAATTACAACTTTTCTTTTTCAATTTGTTTTTCTTTTTTTCTTTCCCACAGACACGTTCGGCAAGTTTTTCCAATCGATGCCACTTGAAAAGGAAAACCTAAAAGTCCACGGCACAAAAATCTTATTACCGAATAACGGGAAAATTGGTAAACCGGTTCAAGTTAAAAATTCGGTTCGGCACAAACTCTAACTCAATTGAGCCCTATATCTATCTCTCTCTCTCCTACGAACAAAACAAAAAAAGGGAGTGCGAAAAGCGATTTTCGTTTTGTCTCACTTATATTCCATTAACCCAAATTCTCTCAGCTCTCCAGCCCCATCGATCCATGTCGCCAGGGTCCAGGACAAACGAGCATTTAATGCGCTCCACTGGAGAGGCAGAGAGATATCCGCTGATGCCCTGGAGACAGAGAGAGAGAGGGAGACAGGACCTAGTCCCACTCTCGCGTTATTCATTTTTAAACTGCATGTCCCCTGGAAGTAGCCCATCCTAGGGACGATACGATGATGATTCAATTTAGTTGCACTGTGGCCGACACAAAACGGCTTAAATGGCTCTCCAGCTACAAGCTGGATATCGGACCCATATACACGCTCATTTTTGATTGATAGGCTTAAGTGTGGGTGGTGGCCGGGTGGCTGGCTCTGGCTGGAGGTAAGCGTTTTGCCGCAGATAAGGCTTCCCTTACATTCCACCGAACAAAACCCATCCACCCCTCCCGGGGGGGCTGGCATCGAATCGGGACTTGCATTCGAGACTCGTTTACAGTTTTGTGCTTGAAGTTGATGGATGACGTTGGGTCATGTGGGTGTAGGGCATGTCCTTAGCTGTAACCAGTTGGGCCACAAATTCCACTTTTCGGGCCCAAATTGTGTATGGATTTGGTTTGAAAGTTGCAACTTTAAGCCAGAAGTTGGGGGAGTAGATTGGATCGTTGGATCGTTAGCCTACCATCAATCTAGAGATCTAAATATAGATGCCAGAAACCAAACATGGAATCGTTGGAAGATGCCTCCAACAGGGTGCCCAAGGAGCAGCTTTACTTCGCCAAAAACACCTCGATCATGGACCTACTTTCAACCCCAGAACTTGGGCCTATGTCTAGCCTCAAGTAATGGTCCCAAAACGGTGGAAAAGTACTCCAGAACCAGGCAAAACAGGTGTACGATAGATCGTTGGGTTATCTATCTTTTATGGTTTAAAATGCATTATATTTCTCTTCCAATCTATAAGCTCTATAAGTAAGTAAAAGAATATCTTATTTCTTAGCGAAAGAGCTTTCATAGAATTCATTTCTACATTCATAGCATTTATTCGAACTAGGCCTCATATTCCCTTGCTCCCTCCTTTCGTATTTCCCTCGATTTCAACCATCAATCTTAAGGCCCTGTGTGTGTGTGTGTGGGGGCGTGGTTTGTGGTGGCTTTTCGTACTCCAAAAAGTACTCCAATTATTGGGGGCACGTGCGCAAGTTGGCAGCGACGTCAATTTACATTTAAATCGCCTCAAGTTGAAGGCTGAAAATGGAAAATAAATAAAAATACCAAATACCAAACCAAAAAAAAAGAAGACAAGAAATTTTAATACCCTTTTTAAATACCCTTTACTTAAAAAAAAGAATATTATTTATTTTATTTCATTATTATTTTTGTTTTTTCCATCAAAATACAAGGAGGAGTTATTTCTTTATTTTTAAGGGTTTTCCCAAAGAAAAGTTCATCATAAAATCGAACAAGAAATCATTTCATTCATTTGGGTACAGCAGCAGATGAAGGCGTTATTTTGGCCTTGCCAGAGTAAAAGAAGAGAGAAAAATGGCAAGAAAAAATAAGGAAAATAATCTTTCAATTGGGGAAAAAAGTCTCAGACTGAGAAAATTAAATACTTTGAAGCTTAAGTGAATTTCCATGAAAGTTGAGGTTCTTTTGCACATAGGAAAACATTATGGATACCCGCCGCTGTGGCTTTTGATCTGATAAATACAGGTACATATATATGTATGTATAGTGCTTATATATTGCACATTTTGCGTGTATATCCTTCTGCGTTGAAGGACTCTGGGCGCTGGTAAAAATGATTGCAGTGCTACGTGATTTATTGCACTTTTCTTGGATTTTATTTGACAACCTTTCGTGTGGTTTTTCTATTTCCACCCCGCTCCCACAACCACCCACAAGTCGGAAAAAGTTTAGTCAGAGTTTCTTTTTTTTTTGCCGCTTGGGTCAGGACTCTGACGTGCGTCCCATTAGGTTCGGAAAATTGCAACAAAATAAAGAAGAAATTCTAATGCCGAAACTTTAAAAGAAGTTTCCATTGGCCGTCTAATGTCCTGGAACGCGCATTATGCGGTCCTTGGGATAACTTTCTTTGGCCCTCGAGCCCTGAGCCCGGCTTCACATTGGGGTCCCCACAACACTCAGACACCCAGATATCTTTGCATTCTCGATAGCTCAAGCTGTTCATGGAATTTATCTTTTGTATAGCTATAAATAAATTATTTACTGGAGCCAAAGTATTGTGATAACGAATGCCATAACCGCTTTGTGGGCAAATTTATTCGCAATGGAAAAATCAGTTGCGTTTTTCCTTTCTCGAGCGGTGGTTGCGGCTCTCAACATGTGGATTTTTCCAATTCTTCTGCTGTTGGTACAGCATTCCACAGGCAGCATCCTGCCAACGGAATCTCCCCCTGAGGTAAAAACTTTCCCGTTTAGGAAATGCAATCAAACTGAAGCGAAGGGAGTTTCTTCCAGGACACAACAATCAGTGATGAGAGGCAGTCGCAGTGCACAAAAGAATTCGAGGAGCAGGACCAACAGCTGACGAGCCTGAAGGCACAACTGAATGTCTATCGGGACAAGGCCAGGGAACTGGAAATGCTGCTGAACTACAGTAATACGATGGGGGAGAGACTGTGGGAGTCCTACAAAGCACAGACCGACTTCAAGGAGCAGGTCGAAAAGATCCTAATGAAGGAGATCCAAGTCCAGAACTCCACCATTCAACTCGAGGAGGATCAAAGACAGTCCTTCGAAAACCGCCTCAACGAATTGGAGTGGCAGCTGAAGAATCGAGATCTTAGAATCATGGAAATTGAAACTCAAATGAAACACAAGGAAGATAGAACCAGGGGATATCTAAAGACCTTCATGGATATAATTGAGAAGGAGCTGGAGGGAAAAAGTAAAGAGGTTCTAATAAGCAGATTGTCACGCATGCTGATCTTTATGCAAATTAAAGATCCACATCTTGGTTACTGAAGATCAAGAGATCAGAATATTTACTTCAGACAGGAGTGTCATAGGGATATGGAGGAGTACCATACTATATACTGATTAAATACAATATTAACAAATATCTACATATATATACAATATACCCATTTCTCAGTTTCTAGCATGAATTCTGAAAGTATGCACTGAAGGGCTTTGTGGCTTTTAGAACTAAAATCTTGGAGTTCTGTGGCAACCACAATTTAGACGATACAAGAAATTCGTTAATGCAAAATCATAGACAATTCACAGGTTTACGAAATTGCAGATAGGATCTTTATAATCTGAATAAAACAAGTAACAGTCGACCTGTTATTCGGCTCTTTGAACACCTGGTTTTCGGAATCTTTTAATGCCAGAGCAGGGCACTTTTGAGTGAATACTTTTAGAACTTTTACTGTTTCAATATTTAGAGCATAAATTTGGCTTTGTATGATTGAAAAATATAGAAAAAAATCAGGTTTACTCTTAAAAAGTAAAAAAGCATACTTTGAAATCCCCTTAGAAAAGCGAAAGGCAGGGACATTGAAGAAGGAGAAAAGTGACATACGATTTGCATGTGTATGCTCTGGTTATTTTTCATTTTTCAATGCCTTTCCCCTGCATTTCCATCAGTCTTTTCATATACCTCGTACACGTGCGAAATCAAGTTTTATTTGTTCGGGGGTTTTTTTTCTGCTTTTCGTGCAGGCTCCCTCTGCCTCTCTGCCTGTTGGCAGTGCAAAGCGCATTAAGTCCTTAGCTTAAAGGCAACACACTGCAGGAGCAATAGCAACATCAGAGCCGTGCAAACAAGCCAACATCTGTAATAACAACAATTACAACGGCAAAGCCCCTGCATACGCAAACACAAGGCAGAGACAGCACGTCCTTCGTGAAGGGAGAGGAGAACGAAGGCTAAGGGCCAAGGACAGGGCGGCCCATTAACTAGCAGCTATCCCTAACCCTTGGATCATTTCGAGCAGAAGAAGAAGAATTTTGTGCATTTATTAAAGTAGAGCCAACACCCACCTCTATAACCTCCCCTTAGGCCATGCCTCACCAGACACTACATATGACGATATATTTTCAACACCCATTTTACTCCTGCATTGTTTTGCATTCAATCATATTCTCACTTTCACTATTCAAATGTCCTTCATTGTACTTGAACGCTTAAGCACCTATTTGAATGCTCATAATTGTGTTGTTATTGCCCACGCCCAAGAACTAACTGTGACGCTCTCACATGCTCACAGATGCGTTCCGTTTTTTGCATTTGGAGCGACGTCGTCGTCGCATGATCTTCTGATTCTCTTTTGCTCGGCTTCATTGCGTGCAATTGAGTCGAAACCAGTCGCAGGCGTAGGCCGCATAGAACACGTTGCCAAATAACCTATAAGCCACAAATATTAGCAAACAAAACAGAGATCGAATCAAACATCTAAAATGAAAAACAGTCCGCCTCGAATGCTTAATAAATATTATATTTTTCGCAAATTCCATGCAAAGTGCACTGCCTATGAAAACCTTTGGACTGTGTGTCGCATTTGCGTAATGTGATTTCATTTTCCACCCTCTTATGGCACTCACTCACCGCTCCAAAGCTTTCAATCCCTAAGGGGCGGAGGAGGGGCACGTAATGTGCTTAAAGTGCTGCAAAAACAATGGCAAGGGAGGTGGCAGACTTGAGTGTAATGGCGGATTGTAGGAATATGTTATTCGGCGACAGACTGTTTCAAAATGAAGCATGTTTTTTGGCTCCGTCTTATCCTTAATAGATTCAACAAATTAGCATAAAGGAGGCCCACAAAAAAAGAGAAAATAATTTTTGAGTGTGTTCGATAAATGACGCAGCAAAACCACAGCCGTCCATGGGGATCCATCAATTATAAATTTAGTTAAAGTCGATCGATTTCGAGGGGTCACAAAATAATTACCATATTAAATTCGGGGCAGACTTTGAAAACTTTGTCCACAGTCAGAGGACAAACTTGACCACAGGTCGGAGGATGGGGCCATGGGCTTGCATATCGATAGATAGCGCCAAAAGCCAAACTGTCAGTTCGGTCCAGTCCAGGCCGTTGCATAAACTAGCCAATAATCCCCCAGACCGAACAGACAGGCAGACGGGCGGGGGCCGGTGGCTGGGGGCTGGCCAGAACTTGGCAACCATCAGAGGCGACAAAGGACAACAGGACGAGAGTCGAGGCGAACTCAAGACTTGGCCAAGTCCTTCGGAAAGCGCCTTAAAGCCTGCACCAGCCTCAGCAGCAGCAACAACAGCAAAATGTTGGAAAAACTTTTCCATGTAATGCATTACAAGTAATTTCACTCGCAACCAAATACACAGGCCAACTTTTGTGTGCAAACTTCAAAAAACCAAAGCAAAGTCGACTTCTTACCCTACAAAAAAAAAACTAAAAAAAGAAAAGGAGAATCGGAATCAGCAACAAAATATCCATCAGTCGAGGCTATAGAGTGGAACGCACAATACATTTCCATAGAAATATAAATAAAATTCTCTCAGGAGAGCTCACTCATTTTGCACTCAATGTGTGCGAGCAGTGCAGTAAAGAAGAAAACACTCAAGGCATAACCACACAAGGGAGAGAGATCTTCCTCTCTCTTTAAAGCTAGCCAGCGACGCCGTCGCTTCAGGCGTGGGAGCGACAAATGCAAAGAGAAGCATGAAGCAGGCAGTGCAAAATTGTTTTTTCTGCTCTCGGCTGATCTGCCGCCTGATTACTATTTTCGGGCAGAGTTTTCTGCTGCTCTGCCCGTTCTCTCTGCCAGCATAGCGCATGGCGAGTGAGCGAGAAAGACGACGATACTCTGCGGTCTGCGCGGGTGCGAAGGATGAAAGAACGATTGAAAAAACTGATATGCGGAGAGTAAGAGATCGAAAGAAGTGAGTACCGCGTGCTACACAGAGTAGAGCAGAGAGTATATTCGGCTATGCGATCGCTCTTGCAGGGGTCTTAGAATTTATAGTGCAGAATGTGATCAATCTTTATAAAGGGTTTGTTATAATAATATAATTTTACTGGGCGGCAAGCCCACTACCCCCGTCTCACTTGCTTGAGCATCTGTGACAGTAACAATCCAGCTACGAGAATATCAAAGTAGACAGCGATCGAAACCACAACGAACTTAAGTCCAATAAAAGGTGAATAAATAAAACAATAAATCAGAAGAGGGTCGCTGAACTTGCATACTGATTGACAATACATAATATGTTCTATAGGTCCATTCTATAATCAACAATAATCCACAGAAAGATGTCATTCGAGGTCAAGTCTGATCTACGAGTAAATGCATATATAATACACATTAATGCCATATTATATTGATTGATAAGCATTGATATATAAGAAGACTTGGGTATTTCGTCTTGCATTCAGTCCGATTTAAGTCTTTCAACGGGAATAGTCATGGAAATATATTGGATTCTGGTGCTTTTCTGCCTGCTCGTAGATGCAGACATTACTCTATCGACGGAAAATAGCTCCGAGAGGAGGGAAATTCAGGCAAGTGAACAGATGGAGGATCTCAAGGAACAGGCGGATGCCAAGCAGATTAGCTCAGATCAACAGCTCAAGGACAAGGATACTGAATTGCTGCTGAAAATGGTGAAGGAAATGAAGGAGCAGATCTCAAAAATGGAAATGCAGATTCAAGCCAGAGAGACTCAAATGCAATCACATGATAAGTCAATCAGAGAACTGGTAGATCAAGTGAATTTTCTTAAACGAACATGGACAGGCAGCTGTCTGCCATTCACCAACTCCACTGACATCTACACCATAAAGTTGCCCGGAATGGGCTCAGTCGATGTACCCTGCAATTCCAGTGTGTCCGGATCTGGCTGGACTGTAATCCAGAGACGAGTCCGCGGGAATGTGAACTTTAATCGCACTTGGAGCGAATACAAACATGGGTTCGGAGACCTCCGGGAGAACTTATTCCTGGGACTGGAAAAAATCCATCTAATGACCCTGCTCCAGCCTCACGAGCTGTACATCCAGCTCCAGCATGCTAATGGAAGCACCAGCTATGCTCGTTACGACGATTTCAAAATAGGCAGCGAGGCGGAAGCCTATAAACTGAAATCGTTGGGAAAATATTCAGGAACAGCCGAAGATTCACTGGCCTTTCACGAGGATATGAAATTCTCCACTTTCGACAGGGATAATCTTGATTGCGCGAAATATTTTGGAGGTGGTTGGTGGTTTGATACTTGCGCAGAAAGGTACTCACATCTATTGCGAATTTCCGAATTTATTATGTTAATATTCTTATTATTACAGTAATCTCAATGGAATCTATTATCCAAATGGTACGAGTAGCAAGCGTGACGGCATCTTTTGGGGTGCTTGGCAAAAAGACAACTACACGATCTCGCTTACATTTACGCAAATGATGATAAGACCAAAGGTCATGTAACATTGTGTGTTCTTTAAAGATAATTTAGTGGGTAGTCAAGGCTGAAAGACCATTCAAACTAGCCAAATTCACAGATGCAAATATATCGCATAAATACAAAAGTATCTCAGAACTATCCATCGAGGGTATATATATTTTTTGTTATTAGATAAATCCATCGAGGGTATCAGTGGTGGTGTGGTATGAGTCTGTGTTGCTCTCCTCCGCCCGAGGGCGCACACTGCACGAGGAAGAGCGTGTGAGAGAGAGGGAGAGCGCGTGAGTAAGTGCGTGGAACGCCTTCCAATGCAGTTGGGTTTGTTGGATTCAGTTTTGGGAGTTTGGAAGATATGGTAGTTTTCTGAATTGTGGATGCCACAAATCGTATATACCCCTATTTTGGAAAAATGATTTATTTACATATATTTCAATAGTAATTAGGTAGCCCTGTAATACCCAAAAAAAGGTGACAAAAATCGATTGTACGGTCTTAAAGATACATGTATAAGCCAAGATATAACATCTATTTTGATGGGTGCGCATTTGCAGGGTCTGAAAACTTTACTGAACTCCTTACACACCTTTCTAGTAATTAGTAATTGTAGTGGTATTTGTATTTTGTATTTTATTGCATGCTTAATTTCTTAATAAGTTTAGTGCTAATTTTCCTCGAAGGTTAGTCTAATATCTATCTTTCTTGCATGCTCGCGTTTGGTTCGGCTACGCACCGCGCGTCATGCGGCAGCGCCCCTCGGTCGGTTGGGCGGGAGGAGGGCTGCGTTTTGCCTGGGATCCGCGCGTAACAGCCTTCTGCTGGTGTCACACGGGCCACTTGACGGTGCAGTAATTGCATCGCCTCTTGTTAGATGCAGTCATTGCATGTCAACGTCCAATTATTAAGTTTGGATTTTATATGGGCCCATTGTTGAAAAAATATTCCGTAGCACATTCAATTTACATTCATTGTACGTACTGTACTGTAGTATGTTTGTGACGTTCACGATCCAAGACATGCCCCGCAGAGTCGCGGTCGAGGATTGGAGTGCGAGTGGGAGTGGGGGGGAGGGGGGGATGTCGGCCAGAGAATGCTGACAATGCATGATGCTTATTGACCGAGATTTCTCAATTTGTATGAATATAAGAGCAGAAGAACAGAGGGAAAAAAAACCCAGTTATTATCTACAGAATGCTTGGCTGGAGGGCAACCGACCGGAAGGAAAAGTCCTTCTGTTTCCGTTTCTGTGAGTCAGCGCGAGATATCAAGGGGATGTGTGTGGGGGGGGGAGGGGGGCTAATATGTCAACGGCAGAAAGGATTTAACAATCCCAAATACAGATTTACATTTGCCAAAGGAAGAGCAGAAAAGAAGTACCTAAAGGGATCCCTACAATACCCACAGTATGGTACTTTCCGAAAGGAATCTAGATGTTCTTGATGAAAGGTCAAGATATCAAACCAATTACATTTTCCATCTTTTCCTTTCGATTTTGACAAGTGAGGAATTTGTTGAAAATAAATCCAAAATCCAGGCTGGGCTCGGGGAGGAGGCTACAGGCATTGCATTTCATTAGACTGGAATTTAACAATTTATCTTGCAAGTAATTGACACGGTCTGGGGCAACAAGAGCAAATAGCAGATAGCCTGAAAGAACTGGAGGAGGCGGAGGAGGAGGAGGAGGAGGAGGAGGAGGAGGAGGAGGAGGAGGGGTGGGCGCAATAACATGCCAAGGATAACACAGAAACAGACTTGGGCAGGACATGCAGGGCAAAAACTGCTTGAGGACAACAATAACAAGGATGCAGAACTTTGCTCAAATTGCAATTAACATGAGAGTTTCGGATTTTCGATATCAACAGACCAGCAGGGGGATTTCCCCCCAGTTTTCGACTCGGCCAGGAGTCCAAGGATGTCCCAGAGCCATATCTGTAATCAATTTTTAATGAATTTTGTCCTCCAGCAAGCAGTGGGCAAATTCTTACACATAATCAACAGCAGGCCCCCCACCAACCACTCACCCCCCCAATTCCCCCACAACCAAACGTAAATTAATTCAATTTTGGCTTTGAGTTTCGAGATTTTATCTCTGATTTTGTTTGAAAAAATTCCACAAAATGACAGAAATATGGCCCGATTTAAGGCGCAATTAATTCGATATTGAGCAGGCCCGATTATACACAAAATTTGGGATTTAATGGTCCAAATGAATGGAGTTAATGCCCAAATGCTTCTCTTCAATGAACATTATTCAAGATAGGCTTAAGAAAAGCAGGTTTCTCTGGCTAATAAGCATAGAACTCCTATAAATGGTTATTTTGGCATTTATCGGGAGACACTTTTGCTTTTGAATGGCTCTTGTATTATCACATCATAATCATTGCTGGCTGGCGGCATTCTATTTATGCAAAATCCACACCTACACTGAGGACCTTTTGTGTGTGCGTGTGGCCCGAAATGAGGGGTCAGGTCAGTGCGCAAAAAAAAAGAGAGCAAAACGGAGCAAAACAACACACGAGTAAAAATATTCATAAATTGCTAACAAAGGACACGCCTCCTTCGCATCGGTGGCTCCGTTTAAAGCCACTTTCGACCCTTTAGTTCAGCCTCTGAAGGCCAGTGATTTGGGTTGCTGTGGCGGGGTATATTTTGTTTTTATTTTCGCAACAGAACCGCAAAGGGGGGAGCAGAAGGCCGCACACACGCACAAACCTTGGGCTTAACTTATGGATTATGGGCGGGGAGCCTGTTTTGTGGTGGAACAGCAGAACAGCAAAATGTAGTCTACATTTGGGCGTTGCGAGACACGAGCGCGTAAAAACCGAAAAGCAACGTCAAAATGGTATTAGCACCCATGCGTCTGTGTGTGTGTGCGTAAGTGTGTGTGTGTGTGTGTGTAAGTTGTGGTCACAGTGCGGCCAAGTTGTTGGATTCCTCCTTGGCCCCTTTTCAGGCGGTTAAGTGGAGTGACTAGAGAGAGACAGAGAAAGAGAGAGAGAGAGAGTGCTGCCTCATTAGATAAGTGCAAAGGGGTGTGGGGCCTGGGGCTAGAGGCAGAATATTTATGCTTCAGGCTAAGTAAAAGTTAATGCAGCCCAGGGCGTACAGTACGTTTCAGTAATGTAAGCCTTACATTAAAGCAACAAGAAATATTTGCCACGAGTGTCGGTATTTTTCACAGAAAAAATACCCAAAAATTATCGATAATTTTCGAATTAAAATAGAAATCTCTGTAATTTTAAGCAAAACTGTGTTTGGAGGATAATTTTCTATAGACAGAAATTCAAATATTCATTCCAGTTTAACGACTATAGAAAATACCAAAAAATCATCGATAATTATTGAACTAAAATAAAAATCTATCGAATTTCAAGCAAAACTGTGTTTGAAGGATAATTTTCTATAGACAGAAATTCATTCAAATTCAACGGCTATGAAAATACCTTAAAATTATCGATAATTATCGAACTAAAATAAAAATCTATCGATTTTTAAGCACAACTGAAGGATAATTGGAGGATAATTTTCTATAGACAAAATTAAAATATTCATTCCAATACAACGACTATAAAAAATACCTCATAATTATCGATATTTATCGAACTATAATAAAAATCTATCGAATTTTAAGCAAAACTGTGTTTGGAGGATTATTTTCAATAGACAGAAAATATTAGCATTATTCTTATAAATAATAGCTCAAAATTATCGAAAATTTCAATTTATCGATAGGGTTTCGATGTTTTGAAGGAATATAATAAAGCTGCAGCTCATAGGAAATGTGAAAACCATGAAGAGCAATAAATTAACTTTTCATCTCTAAAATCTCAAAAAATTGTCGATAATGCCATAGAAAACCAATATATCGATGTTTTGTAGATAATTTCTAGAGATAAAAAAATTTGAGATGTTTTGGACGATTATTGATTTTGGTAGAGACAGAAATTCAGCAATCAAAGGACTTTATTCAAGTAAATCAAGAGTACCAATCAAACCAATCAAATATATTCGAATCATTCTATCCTTATAAACATCGTACACATCTAAAAGAGGGCAAACAAAGCCACTCTCTCTCTCTCTTTCGCTGAAAACACTCTCCGGTAGCCACAAAAGCTGACACTAATAGGCCAAGGCTCTGGCTGGAATTTGTAGCATAACAAATTAACATCAAGTGCCCACCGCCCACGGGCGCCACTCCAAAGCCCAGCAAAAAGGCAAATCCGAGAGCGAAGACTGGCCAAGATGGGCGTGTAATTGATGCCACAGCAAGTGCCGGCAGGTGTGTGAAGGAGAGTGGGAAAAAAAAGCGCAAAGGAGCGCGTATTATAAACTAAATGAAGCAAGCTATAAAGTAATTTGAGACACAGTCAGCCCCAACTCTGCAAGAGATCTCGTTAAGCGAGAAAAAGGTGCCAGGGGGGGCAGGGACAATTTTCATTTGCAGGACATCCGACACGAAGGATGGCCATTGTTCATCGGTTGCCAGTGCCAATCATTCAACTGATTAGTTTGATTTTACCGCCACGCTATTTCCGTAGCGCAAAACAGGGGGGAGGGGGGGAACGCTAGACAATGGTGCCCCACCGGAAGCCGGGGGGTGGGGGGCGAGTGTCACAATTATGGAGCGGAGCGACGATTGTTCCTCGAACCAAAAAAACCCAACTTTTCCCCCACTAATTGCTCCGCCAGTGGAACATTCTGTGGCCGAGGGTATTCGCATCGTTCGCTTCCGTTCCGCTTGGCGCTTAATTAAATTATCGATTGGTTTTATTTTTGGGACACCCAACCGAATGGCTCGTGGATGATCACTCAATGTAGTTTACACAGCGTTTGTCCTCTCTTTAATCTCTCTTTCTTTGCCCCAAAACGGGTTGAAATGTTCTTTCTTCTCTCCCAGATACAGATACATTTTGAAGGGCTTTACACTTGAACGAACCCACACAACTCCAGCCAGCAAAATTTTAATGAGCTACAAAACCGCAGAGAGAGAGAGGCTGGGGCTTTGGGGCTGAATCTACTCGAGACTTGGGCAAACAAACTGGTTTATATGAAAACAATTATGATGTTTGCTAATCTCACAGAAATTCCAGAGCCTCAGAGACAGGTACAAAGGAGACAGACAATGAGCAAACAATCGTACG